AAGAAGCTTTTTAACTCACATCTTACCACTTTCTCCCGTGAAAAAGTCACCTCCATCTTCAGTTGTGCACGAACCGATGCAGTTGTCACTTACTATTGTGCAAAATTGATCTTCAATATACATCTGTGGATTTCACATCATGGGTTGCTAGAGAAACTCTATCTCTTTTCTACAAATTAATTGTAGGTTCATGTATTATGAATGAATAAAAGTCTTAAAGGCTATAATGTCTGAATAACATATGTTTGTATCGGCATCAAGGGTCAGAGTCGCAACATTTGTAGGACAAAAAGATTGTTCACTGAGACTATTTCACATGAGCATAAAGCAAGTCGCTGGCTACGTTCACATCGTTGTGAGGCGTGCGCCAATGGGAGACAACTTTTATTTCACCACACGAGTAGATTGAACATGGGTTGAGGAATAAGCATTTGACCTGAAGACCATAAATCAGTTTCTACAGTGGACTGATGCTTCTCGACCTACAGTGAAATCGACCATCTCCACTCGTGGCTCACGATATAGGCATTTGACCTGAGGACCAAACATCAGTTTCTACGTTGGACTGATGCTTGTCGATCTAAAGTGGAATCGACAGTCTCCAATCGTGGCTCGGTGGAATCACCAAATCACTGTGCAGGGGAGGAATATGAGGTTGACAGTAGTGGTCTGATTACGCACTCGAAGATCTGATTACGCCCTCTCTTAACCGCAACCATGTTCTCCGATCTTGAGATTGACCAAAGGCTTTACTATACGAGGGCCTGGCTGGGAGCAAAAGCAGGAAAGACGGTTCTGCTTTTGGCAACAGACCTTGACGGGTTCTCGTCGCCACAGAGTAAAAGGACAAGGTGAGAATGCTCAGAAAGTTCCACCACGAGGCACGATCTAAATGGACCACCACAAACCCAGCCTAGTGTGATATCAGGCCACCATTCAAAGTCCGATGTTCAGGCCTACGACGTTCAGACATGGATGCGATGGAACGAATGGAATCTCCACGTATGGGGGGAATTTGAGGCACGGAAGCAACGAGGGAACGAACGCCAATAACGAGAATGCGAGCCCTAAGACAACAGTGCTGACAAAAAAGAACTTCCTCGGTCCTGGGAACGACTTGGGGATTTCCTCAGTCCATTCATGCGTGCGAGCGTGAACGTAGGGACTTTCGGTGCGATCGATTTGGGCGAGGGGAGGCGAGGGGTGCAGAGTCCGCAGAGAGACGACATCGTGCTTTGTTTCTGAACACTGTCAACGTTCAAAGTCGTATGCCGCCGCTGTCGCTGTCGCCCTCGCCCTCGCAGCCTCGAATCGATTCTCCTCGACTTCCACGAGAAGAAGATTCAGCTCAAGCTTCGTGATTCGCCCGCCTCGCGGGGATCGATCTCGTAGTGCGACCGACCTTTGGAGTTTTTGTTGTCCTGGCCGTGGCCCTGAACGCTGGCCAGCGAACATTTGTTCCGAACGTCAAATGCTCAAATGCTCAAATGCTCGAATGCAGCGAGTCTTCAAACTTTCCTTTGCTGAGCTCAGTTTCTCGCAACATTCAGACGATGAATGGATTCCAAATTCCTCCAGAGACTGGAAGCTTCTTCTGCACTGTGTCACAATTTCAGATTGACTGCCATCGCCTCGCTCAACGAGGTCGATCGCACGAAGTGTCTCAACTCCGCTCAAAATAAATTGGCGCGTTCAGTAAAAATTAAAACATAACATAACATTTAAAAATAAAAAATACATTAAAAAATAAAGTATATAAACCACCTTCGTTGAATAATATACATACTATCATCTAGTAATCAACTATATCATAGTAAATTAGAAGGTAACCGGCTTCGACTGGCACCCAGACTGGTCCTTGCCAGTAAGACTAGAGGGGGGAATATCTAGAATATGAAAAGTCCTAACGAGGACTGGGGAAAGGAAGTTTTCTCCTTGGACCGAAAGACTTTTGCAGTCGTGCATCTGAGACCGTGGGGGTTGTGATCTGCTCGTTGGCCCACAAGCCTTTGGACCGAGCACGAGGATTTTTCTGGAGGGACAGCACGGTGAACTTCTGATGCGTATTTGGATTTTAGACTCAGCAGATTCTCTGGTTGTTCGTCGGTCACCCGAAGTTGTGTCGTAGTCACTGTGCAAAGTGGAATGTTCTAGCCTCAACTTCCGGAAACGGGATGCGCATCTTCGCTCCTTCGATCGTGGAGTAATTGATAGAATCGCTGTCGTTTAGTTGCCGCTTCTAACGAGATCCAGAATAATTTGAAAGAAGAACAGTTCTCCATAAGACAACATGAAACCAACGTAACGGACGACAATACTTTGACCTCTTTTCGAAGACATATATGAAGACTATATTTATAAAGAATTAGACTCCGCGGAAAAAAAGAATTTCATGGCAAAGGAAACCAATTAATAGGTTTAATTAATTTCAGAAAGAGCCCCGAAGTTGCGAGTGAGCGAATGGGTATTGGACTCAAGGTTACGATTCACGACAAACACAGGAGTGAGAACAAGTCATGGGTATGAATAAACCTCCAAATCCGAAGGCCGACGAGGGCAGATCCTTACCGTCTTGCTTATCTTGGAAATGTACGAGCATCCAATTGTCCTCAAAATATGAATGTTACATGGACACATCAAAAATTTGAGAGCAAAACATACGAAGAGGATGAAAGAAAGGAGAAGAAAGAGATACGCAAGTGTCCTGCAACGACCGGAACATCAGCTAGCTGTCAAAAGCTTTTTCCAGGCTTGCTTGATTGTTTAGTCTCTAACCTTAAAATGACTAAATGATCAATCCAAAACCACTCGAGACCAATTGTCCAAGCTGACATGGTTGCTCTTCGAGGTGGTAGAAGTTTAAGCAAAGATGAAAGACTGGAAAACTGTGCTCAAGGAGGAAAACCCAATGATGTAATAACATGAGCGAGAGATTACCTAGCCCTAAGCCAAAAGGTACGAAGATGGCAAGTCTCGTGTGAGAAGGAACTATCCTCCAGCTGCACCTTTAATCTTGCACGCAAGTTATGCATGCACATAATAATTAATCATTTAAATAAGCTTTTGATATCAAACAATCTTACTTGAAAAGTAAAAAGGCTATATGATGTTCTAGCTTTATGCAACCATGTTAGTTTAAATTACTACATGGAGTATGACAGTGATATATGTGCTCGTTGACTCTTGTCAAACTAAAACTAAAACTCTTGATCAAATGTACACATCTTATGTGGTTGCTTCATACATTCAATCGCCTAATATCAAATGTAATGTGCTTTTTGTACTTTTTAATAAGTGTAACATCACAGCAATAAGGCTAAGCTCACGCAGCTTCCAACAAGGCCATATTTCGGCGGCAATCAGCTAATTATCAACTGTCAGTTGAACCTTGCTGTACATAAAAAGATCGATTTACATTGTAAGAACAGATACAATGGTGTAACACCGCTTTCTTTAGACTGCATCTCCAGTTTGAGATTTCCCAAAATTTCATATCAACATATAAAAACATCTCGAATGCTACTATTATTTCTAGCCTTCTAAACAACATGTGCCCAATGTACAAAATATAACTCCAGCTTTCAACCATGCTCACAAGTCAGACTTCTAGAGGTAAAACGATTCATCTAATTTCAGCTGATAAAAATTACAATCAAATTTTGTGATGTGAAAAAATCAATCTACTTTTTGATCAAAAAACATTTTTGAAAACAAAGAGCATATTATAAGATTCGATGTTCAAAATGGTATAAGATTATACCTTACTTTACCTTTAGTAAAACTCATCAGTAAAGATGTTTAATTTTAAATTCAAGAATGTATATACCTCTCCATTAATCACGGTACATTCCTAAGAGCGATACTTACAAAGTATAGGGTGTATATATATATATATATATATATATAGAGAGAGAGAGAGAGAGAGAGAGAGGGGGAGGACTGGAAGGTTAAACATCACGTAAAGTGCCCCATAACGAAAAATAATAATAATCCCAAGAACATTTTAATTGAGCACATCAAGATGGGTTTGTTTGTCAACCTCAGATCTAAAAAATTGTATCATTGTTTTAAGGAGACAAATTTGTTATTTTTTCTGTTCAAAACAAGGGAGGCAAACTATCAAGGTTTCTACTATAAGCTTGAGTTGTTCAGAAGAGAAGTAGTTGTCGGTGCAGCTTAGATTTTAAAAATATTTAAATTTCCTTCGTATGATGGAAAAGCCAAGGTTTATGATATAAACCAAGAGACTTAATAAAACATATCTCCAGTTTTATATCATAACATTCTTCCAAATATTTTATCCAGCAGTAAAATTTTACACCTTTATATGACTTAGTATGGAGAATCTGAAGTTTGAATTCCTTCAAAATATGTGAGTTTAGAGTTTATAGATCATAAGAGTATAATAAAACTATCTATCCAACATTAACAATTTGTAACAAATCAATCTATCCCAAATATCTCTTGTTGTTTCATTGATGTAAAAAGGGTAAAATGATATATTCTGAATTTATTATGCTATTGCTATGTGATACGACGCAGAAATGGCTTTGAAGTTGGAATGAAGTTTTGTTTTCAGTCGGGACTGTGTGACCACCATTGCACCGACTCGTTAGATAGCGCCCCTCTCAGCGAGACAAGGTTTGAATTTCAGAAATGCATAGGTCAGCACTAGCAAATGAACTGGAAATTGAAAATTCCGAATGAAAAATGAATGCTCTCAAAAAACGAACAAAGAACAAGGAACTCACAAGAAAAAGCATGATCCAAAATGCCTCGCAACATGTCAAGGTACAAGTTTTCCTGTATTGAACTCCATGGATCTCACTCATATGGTTTTAGCTGATGAACCTGGCCAGAGAATTGTGTGGCTCTTTTCTATGGTGCTGGATGGCATTCTGGTGTCCATGCTGCTGTAGTTCGAAAGAGTAGTGTAATGACAAGTCGCTCCAGAGCAATACAGAGAGAATCAATGACAGGGAGAAGTATATGAAAGAAGATGTATTTGAAAGAGGATTTAATTACTCTCGGGAACAATTGTCACCCGAAGATTGGATTTGATATACTTGTCGTCCTTGTCCCAAAGAGAATGAAAGTCAGGTCCATGGAGATGAAGTTTTCGGTATAATTTACAAAGGCCTGCACCTACGCCAAAATCTAATATAAGCCAAACTGCCATATCCCACACCAAAAATTGCTGATCCTCAGCCGATACGGTCTACAATGAAACTAACCATCTATCGTGCGGGTTGATGTAGATCTAATTATACACTAATATGCGCCTGTATTCTGCAACTGCAACTTGTGCAGGAAAAAACCCTGTGCGTATACTCGGTAATCTGACCATACTCCTAAACTACAGAAAGAAGAAAAATGAATGGATCCACTCTCAAGCTTCTTGGTAGTCGTTTCTCGCATATTGACAATTCCTGATCAGCAGAGTACCTGCGATCTATCGTTCTGAAAGAGAGAAAGAGAGAATCCTAAAGTTGTTGATCTTTTTTACATCCCAGCGATGAAGAAGAAGAAGAAGAAGAAGAAGAAGGATGATGAACTGAGCATTTTTTAGCATCGACGTTCCATCGTGGGCGAGGGTTGCACAGTGACATTCACTCGTCGTGAGGCAAGGACTGGCCGTTTTTGAGAGTCCGGGCAGATTGACTCATGCCGAGCGACCAGCGGACGATGAATTTGATCGGATCCAGAAACACGAAGGTGAAGATGCTGAACAACCATACGACTGCGGCCCATTTCCATCCGATGCCCTGCACGTGAGCGAACCCCATATCCGCATACACGGCCAGCAGGGTGGCAATCAGCTGAGCCAGGACGAAGGCAGTCATGAGCAGCACCCCGGGCCTCTCGGTGAAAAACCAGCCTCTGGATCGTGTGACGAAGATGAGTGCCTGGCTCACGATGCTAACCTGGAGGTAAATGGCCGAGGTGAGCTGTTTGTCGTTGTATTCGATCAGCTCCAGGTTGAAAGCATCCTCGAAGAAGGTGGTGTCGTGGATGAGGTAGAAGAAGAGGACAGTGCACAAGGCCATGTACACTCCGAGGACCACCCCCATGACGAAAATCTCGCTGAGCTTCCAGCTGTCGGGAAGCGGGGAAGGTTTCACTCTGTCCTTGGCGATGGTCATGATTGTTCCGTCGTTCAGAATGGCAATCACCAGAATCATGAAGGGCGAAAAATCGAACTTCCATATGAGAGCCAACAGCACGAAGCCCAGCACGATGCGGATGGTGATGGCCACGGCGTAGATGGTGTAATTCTTCATCCTCTGGAATATGGCTCGGCTGGCGAGCACAGCACTGATGATGACGCTGAGGCCGGGCTCCGTCAGAACGATGTCCGAGGCGCTGCGCGCTGCGTCCGTCGCATCGTCCACGGCGATGCCGATGTCGGCCCTCTTGAGAGCCGGGGCATCGTTCACTCCGTCTCCCGTCATGCCGACGATGTGCTTCTTGTGCTGCAACCTCTGCACGATCTCGTACTTGTGCTCGGGGAAGACGCCTGCGAATCCATCAGCTTCCTCGATCAAGTCGTCGACCTCCACGCCCTTGGATTGCGGGTTCTCGCCGAGCAGCGAAGTGGAAGGGAACATGTTGGTTCCCATGCCGAGCCTGCGGCCGGTCTCGATCCCGATCGCGAGCTGGTCGCCAGTGATCATCTTCACGGAGATTCCGAGCTCCAGAGCGCGACGAATGGTGTCGGCACTGTCATGGCGAGGCGGGTCGAAGAGCGGCATCAATCCGCAGAAGGTCCAGGGACCTCCGGGCGACTGCTTGTTCTTCTCGGGCACTTCCTGCAGAGCCACACCCAGAGATCGCAGACCCCTCTCCGCGAACCTGTCGATGACAGTGTGCGCGCGAGCAGCGATCTCGTTCTTGTTGTGGGCGAGGTCCAAAATCTGCTCGGGCGCTCCCTTGCTGGCTCGCCACCACCTGTCGTCGGAATCAATGTACGTGATGGCGGTGCGCTTGTCGACGGGGTTGAAGGGCAAGAAGTGCACCTCGCGGATGCCCTTGCGAGCATCTTTAGGGTCCGGGAGTGTTCCCACGATGGCGGTGTCGATCGCGTCCTGGTTCTCCATTCTCGCAGCTCGGGCCGCCAGCAGCAGCACCTGCGCCTTGTCCACTCCGCTCGCAAAGGTCTCGATCAAATTCGTGTCGACCGTCAGCTTGTTGAGCGTCAGCGTTCCCGTCTTGTCGCTGCACAGGACGTCCATGCCGGCCATCTCCTCGATGGCGGTCATGCGCTTGGTGATCGCCCCTTGCTTCGCCAGACGATGAGCACCGATCGCCATGGTGACGGAAAGAACAGTAGGCATGGCAATGGGAATTCCTCCCACGAGCAGCACGAGAATATTGGGGATTCCCTCCTTGTACCTCCGACCCTGAATCGCAAACATCACAATCACCTCGACGACAATGCCGACGAGAATCGACACGATGCAGAAATTCCCGATGGCCGTGAGCACCGATTGAAAGTGGCCGACTTGGTGCGTGCTGTCGACCAGGTGCGCGGCTTTCCCGAAGAAGGTGTGCACGCCCGTGGCGATCACCACAGCCTCGAGCTCGCCATGCTTACAGGTGGAGCCGGAGTACACGCCATCGCCAGGGCCCTTCTTGGCGGGCTCGGACTCGCCCGTCAGCGCAGACTGGTCGATCTTCAGGGGCTCACCGTCGAGCAATCGTGCATCGGCAGGAATGATGTCGCCGAGTTTGATGCTGATCATGTCACCAGGCACGAGCAGGCTCGCGTCCATTTCAGTCCACTTGCCATCGCGCAGCACCTTGGCGGTGGGCGCGAGGCGAGCCATGAGGGCGGCCGCAGCATTGCCGGCATTATTCTCCTCGACGTAGCTGATGGTGGAATTGATGATCAGAAGAATGACGATGCCGACGAAATCGTAGTAATCGGGATCGGTGGGAATGGCAACGATGCTGATGATGGCCGCGATCTCCATCACCCACGACAGCGGGTTCCACATGAACCCGAGGAACTTGAGGATCTTGCTCTGCTTCACTTCGGTCAGCTGATTGGGCCCGTAGAACTTGAGCCTCGCCTCGCCCTCGGCCTGCGACAGGCCCTGCTCGTCGCACCGCAGCTTCGCCCACACCTCCTCCATCGGGCACTTCTCCAAATCCGCGCCCTGCCCCGGCACCGGCAGCGCGCCCATCTCCACCGCGGCCGCCATCAGCCCTATGCTCTCCCCCCTGCGCCCGCTCTTCGCCATTTTATACCCCCCCCCCCCCAACGAGCTTCCGAGGCCCCGTCCGTACGGCCGTACGGCCGCGCCGAGCTCAGCTCAACAAAGGAACGTTACTTCTGTACTCTCTACTGTTCTCTAACCTCCAACGTCTGTCTGTACACTGCTGACTGACTGTCTGTCTGTCTATCTGTGATGAATTTCTCGACCCGGCAGCCACCGTCTGCTCTGCTCTGCTCTCTTCTCCTGTCCTCGATCGATTGCTCGATCGATCGATCGACGATTGCGCTTCTCCAGGGTCGAGAGAGATGTCTGTCTATCGAGGAGGCAGCAGCAGCAGCAGGACGAGACTGGAGCTCGCTCGCTGCGATCAAATGAGGCCGGGGCGCATGGGCTTTATAATAGTCTCAAACCGAACGCGTAAGTCTGCGCTGATCGGAAAAAATACTCTCAACTCAAGAATTTGATTAGAGGGGGGGAGGGGGAGGATTGATTCTAAGAAGGCTGCGTGAGTGAGTGAGTGAGTGAGGGGGTGGGGTGAAAGATGGGGGAATTAACAGCCAGAGCTCGGTCAAATGGGGCGAGCGATGCGCAACGGCTGACCGGACCCTGACCAAGTCTGACTGTAGTAGTAGCGAGTTAGTTACGTAGGGGTTTACTGGGAGGAGAGGGGGAAGAAGACGGGGTAGGAGGAAATCTATACAATATTTGCCCGGACCAGCCCGACACACACAGAGCGAGAGAGAGAGAGGGAGATTGGGAGAAGGCTCTCGAGCTGGTGAGTCCGGCCAATGGAAAGAAAAGTTGTGGGGGGAGTTGGTTGAAGATCGAGGGCGGAAGGCGACCTTCTTATACACATGGCCCGCCCCGGAACACCACCTCACGTGTCGCGCTGCTCTCTCAGCCTGTTCGCCTCTGGACCGGCAACATGCACGTAGAGAGAGAGAGAGAGAGAGAGAGAGAGAGAAAGGACATGGACATATTCTAATCGTGCAGCGAATCGCGGGCCCCATGAACAGACACAGCGAGAGAAAAAAAGTTCACCAACTCGGCGGACCTCAGAATCGCAGGGCCCTTCCTTCGTCCGACCTTCTCGTAGAGTCAGTCAGTCAGTCAGTCAGTCAGTCAGTCATACAGAGCTCACGGCCTTGGCAAGCAAGAGACCATATTGTCGTTGTCAGATTCTCGAGATATCTTGGCGCTCACTTCGGGCCCTCCCTCACGGCCTCGTCGTCGCAAGTCCGCAGAGAAGTGGAATCAATTCTTCCTCCTTCGGGCCTTCGGGCCTTCGGGTCGCATGGTAGGACCTACGGTAAATGGTTAATTAACGAACTTTCGCCCCTTACCCTGCCTGGCTGTGAATCTCGAACGCGTGTTCACGACAAATCCTGATTTCAATCAATCATTGTCATCGGATCGATTATTGACCCAGGCCGAGGGTTTAGCACTGAAGAATTTCATCTTACGACCGGATCATGTGGAATTACAATTTTTTTACTCGAGCTGATTTAGTGGTTGGGTTGGGGCTGGGGCTGCTGGACAGGTGGTTCCAGGTTATGGCCCGAGAAGAGGGGCAGGGCAGGGCAGAGAAGAGAGATGGGCGGGGCAGTCAGCTCGATTCGACTGATTGCTGGCCCGAACAGACGAGCGGCCCTACAATTTCTTGGGCGGCTGCTGCACGTCACCCAACCCGCGCACTGTCTCGATCGAGATTCTGCTCGTCACCGAAAAGAAATCGGACTGTTGTAACAGGCGGAAACTTTGCTCCAACTCCTGTGGCTGCGGGGCACTGACCAGGGCGGGCTCCGGTGCACTGAGCAGGAACTCGTGTTACGTATGGCTCGTCCGACGAGTACAGACAGATCGGACAGAGCAGAGCTCATGATTGCGCATCCATCCATCCATGAAGGAAGGAGGAGGTCGTGCAGAGTTGCCTTTCGTGGCATCACATCACATCACATCGCCTGCCGCAGCAGCAGCAGCAGCAGCAGCAGCACGCAGCCCAGCGATTGTTCGAACTCGGATCTCTATAGCATGCGCGAGCCGGGGCGTGGTCCCTGAAATCGCTCCTCTCCTGCAAACAGAGCGCCAGCACACGCCGCACAGTCCCAGATTTAAGTAACCTTTTCTATATATACTCCGTGCCCCACAATTTGGGATCTCCTCGACCATCCCTTCGTCCGATTTGCGGCAACCCCTCGACACCAGGAGTTTTTTCGTCGATCACATTTGCTAATTATGAGGTGCTGTGCACCAGAGTCGCACATCAGCATTGACTCAAGTCTCCCTCCACTCCCACTCCCATCCCATCACAGAGGCCACTCTTCCTACTCAATTGACTCCATCGTCTCCTTCACTTCCCAGAGCTGGTCAAGTTTAGCTTCTGCTTCTTACCTTGACAGGCATCCACGGGATTCCCCGCCCCTGGTAAACGTGATTTTCATGGTTAGATATTAAAGTCGAGTTCCCATCAGGCCTTGAGGAATAATTCACGTCCTCGAACTGAGAGGAAGTGTAGGCCTGTGGTCTGAAACATTATATAGAAAGTACATCAGGACAATACGGAGAACACTGCAGAAATCATAGCTCGGATGACGACTGCTCGAAGAAAGCAAAAACACTCCAAGTGACCCACTAATTTTTTGGGTTTATCTATCGAAGTAAAGCATCCCTTTGATTCTGGAGTTTAGAAGGTGGTTTTATATTTTGTTACCTTATAATCTAGGCACCTGATGGACGTAGCCTATTTAAAGTTCCTGGCGCCCGGGGTTTCTGCAAGCATTTGGGATCGTGTCGGCATTTTCTATTGCCTTTTCACGCATGGAGTGTATGCCTCGATGAAGGAGCTAAACTCAAACGTGGAAGTCAGTGTTTGTTTTCTTGCTTGTACGGATTGATGGGGTGTTCTCATCGATTTGGTTATCCATTTGGCCTCCTCTCTTCTAAAGGCCAGGAGAGGCCATCAAATCAAATGTAACCTGTGTTGTTTGTTTTCTATGGGGTGAAACATGCGGATTGATGGGACGTACAGATGCTTCCAGCATTTTTGCAAACCGTAGGCACTGTCGTTCCAGAATGTGTACAAGTAGTGATATAGTCACAGCGATCTGATTGTGTTTTTCAATGTACAAAGATACTTGATGAATGACGAAGAGGTCCCGAGCTTGAATCCAAGAGCAGCCGTTTGGTGCTGATGGATGGGTTGGGCTGGGTTGCTTAGTAACCCATCAACTCAGGCACTAGCAATGATTGTACTCTCGTAAAGTGCTGCGCTTGCACAGAGAGAGGCATCGAACCTGAGCACTTGACAACCATGGAAGTTCATGCATTTGCAATGGGCACACTGTTAGTAGTAGTACTGCTTACCACCTCGAAAGCACTTCTTAGACTACATACATACAGCATCACTTCGTCCAACGTGAACACCCATGTGTCACATGTCCGTGCAAACATCATAATCATGTGCTAATCCATCTCTTGAGGGGCTGGCTTCTAAGCCCGATGAGACAACTGGTGCCTTCTATTATGGCATGGCAAGGCTTTCCACATACTTAGATGAAATTGATTTGCTCATCACTCCGAGGAGATCACCAAAGTTAGCTTTGGAAAAACGCTATCTTAGTCAAATTGTTGAAACTCGTGTTACTGGGATTCCCCTTCCATGAGTTTCTGCGTTGGTGCATTTTTCAAAATGTAAAAACACAAGAATTCCAGTATTTTACTATGCATACGTATTATAATTTTTCCTTGCAAAAAAGGTGGCTTTGTTCCTGGGTGCTGTACGCTCCTTAGATACTCCTTGGGGCGACTCGTGGACCGGTTTCCTCTCATCCATTTTCATTGTGGTTCCATATCCTTTGATTGGATACATGACTCGTTTGTTTTATGCTTCAGCGAATGCATTCATGCCCCGTGTCCTCAACATTTGGAACGTTATTCTTTAGCAGATATTCCAGGATCCTGGAAAGGAAAAGCTACAATACTTCCTTCACACCTTCCTTCATACAGTGTAAAGTGATGCGACCAAAAAAATCGTGGTGAAGTTTTCACAACCAAAAAAATAAAACATGACCACTCAATTTCATGCAAGCGTTAGTTCCAGATATCTTTCATAGACGTGTGTAAAGTTGGACGCTCCGTAGTTCATCGCCAACATATGATGCAGATCTGGATTTCTAAAGTTGGGATTTCAACCTTTGTGACGAGTCATCGGCAGGTGGACAACAATATATGGAAGGTCCAAACGCTTCTACTATGTATCATCGTTGACATACAGTCTGATTTCTACACATAGATATATAGTTTACAGAGTCCAGCTGGGTGAAGAACTGAAAAACCAACACTAATATTCGGGCACTTTGTGCCTCAAAGCTTTACAGTTGACATACCAAATGGGTGCCCGTCAGTTGACATGTACCCACTTCAGTATTTGCTTATCTCGTCTTCATCACTTTCGATGTTTCAAAAGTAAGAAAATATCTAACAAAACCTTTAGACAGAAATTTTAAGTCACCGTATTTATAACTTCAATTTTGTATGTCGACTGTATTTTAATTTGCAATTTTATTTAAACTGGTTCATATACTGAAGTCTTACTGAGATAATTCGTGTAGAGAACCCCTTGAGAGACGAAAAGCGCATCTTCACAAACATTTCTATCTACGTGACCGACCGACCTTACGGTCCATGAGATGGCATGTACCTCAATTGAGATCTACACAGTTGCACGACAAACGCTGGTCAAACAGCCATAGAAACAAGAGAAAAAGTTTCAACTCTATAAAGGAAACAATGGCACGCGCTCGCCCCGCGTTGACGGAAGCTTGGTTGAATTGTAAGCACTTTAGAAAAGTAGGTGAGGCATCTGCCTGTAAATCAAATTAGCAGCAGCTTCTCTGAAATTTGCCACTCTCGATTCTTCTTCAGGGCCCACCGCGAGGTTTCTTCGTTTTGCTTCGTTCCAGCTTGTCTACAGCCCAGCTATGGAACAGGAACCTTCGTTCCATCTTCATCACTATGCTCCAAAAACATTGTGGCTTTCATGGATTGTGGCGGACACATGATTTTCACAAAAAGTGCCGGAAAAGCCCATCAACTACGTTGAAAACTAATCCAAGTAGTTGTACATAGGTTAAGATAATTTCAATGCTAAATGACCAAAGAGTTGAACTTTTTGGTTTTGTCACTCTACTTGCCTACCACCTATTAGTAGGATGGAGGGTATCTCACTTTGAACTCTATAGGAGCTACGCACACTTTGATCTCGCTCTTCTATCATAGGGTGTGCTGACCGAAGTTGACATAAGTAAACTTGGTTTAGTTTAATACGTACTCTTATGTCATAGTAAATATCACATACATCATCTCATCGTTGATACCTATAATTTTGATTCCATAAATGAATCTGCACTCCACTGTGGTCAAAACATAAACCTACACAAGTGCAGAGGTAGAAAGAAAATCGTGTGGTGCACTGATTACACTGTAAATTTTTTTGAAGTTTTATCACAACAATCATTATTTATAAGTGATCATTTAAATGAAAAAAATAGATTTTCTGCCATTTTTCTAAAAATAATAATCACATGTTAATCTTGCTCACATTACTTTTCAAACCTGAGAATTGTGAATATTAAGTGTAAATCATACGTTTCAAGATCAATTAAATTTGTATATATCTTAAATGTACAAAATTTGAAACATCATCTAAAAAAATAAAATCATGATTATAGACCAGAAGAGAGAAGAGAGAAATATGTACATTAAAAAAAGTACAAAAGAAAAAGATACTTAAGAGAATTCACTAGGTTATTTAACCTCTCCAAAGATCATAATATCACGTGTGAAGATTTTGAAACATACAATCACATACATTTACATAATAATAGTGTTCAAAATATCTATACTTTGCGATGTAATATAGACTTTTGTATCAAAGATGATTTTGAAGATATGAATAAATTTAAATGAACATGGTAAAACTAGTTAGAATTAATCAAATATTTTTAGACAAACTTGATCATTTATAGCTTTTACAATTTTACATTGAACAAAATTAAAATATTCATCATTTCATTAATCAATTAGAAATCTAGACATTAGCTATGTATATCTAACTATTCAAATCACAAAAGCATCAATGGCTGGAATGAATCTCAAAGATGTTCATGTTTTGTACTGAACCGAGATGTGAAGATAATCATAATATTTTGCAAAAATAATGAGCTGATCATGATACATAACTCAAGAATTCTAATGATATTCACTTATTTAAGATGAATGAAATGATTCAAGAAAACTAATTCCTACACATTATCATTCATCACAGCCAAATTGATAAAAGACGATTTTGCCAATCTATACTCCGAGCTTGTGCCAATCTATACTTCGAGCTTGCCCCAATCGCAAAGGAGACAATCACAAATATCAAAAGTAAAGTGAAAACGTCAGTCGCTCGATTCTGATCGCAAACTCATATTGCAATAAAAAATAATGATATTGTTATGCCCTTTTCTTTATCAAAATTCAGTCTTTGTTGTCACTTTATCAATATATCAAATTTCTACAATTCAACTAGTGATAGTCAAATGCCCTAATATATTTCTATGCTGTCAACCTAATGTTCACTTTTCTGAACAACTGGAACACAAAAAATCATTTTCTATACATTCTCCATGGAAGTCAAAATATAACCTACAGTCTAAGAATAAATGATTCTGGCCTAGTAACCTACTGTGTACTCTCCTTTCTTCCCCATTGTAACTAGCTGTCATGATACATGCTCTTGCATCTGGACGAGTTCTACAACGGAGGACAACATGACAACAACATATGGGACAGTAGGAGGACAGCTTGGGGTTCATTGCATGAGACCATACAATTCAGTAGTTATATCTGAATCTATAAAGAAGATTGGTGGGTACATGGTTTCATGAGATGAAGATGCTCTTTTAGGCGTCTCTCTGGGAAGGTGGCGATAGAGCTGTGACAAGAGGAGATGGTGACATGCATGACAAGAGCACTTGTAGGGTTTGCAAGCAGGATGGGGCCCTGACAAAATGATTTTCAAGCACATGTGACAAGAATGGAGTCGGGGTTCCTTCTTGACGAGAAGGGGCATGGGAACTTCCAGCCCAGAGCAACCACATGATGGGAGGTTGGACAAAGTGAGCATCAAATGATGGCGAATAATAGAAAACTGCTGTGGAAGCTCGTATCCAAGAACCTTTTGAATGAAAAGCAGGTGCCAAGTGCACGAAGCTGAAACCCCCAGAAGACGAAGAAGGCCGAGACTTTCTCTCCACACCAACTGGTGAGAGTGAGTGAGGTCAAGAGGATTGAAACCATGAACACAAAGCACCTTCCGAAGTCCTAAAGCTGCCTCCGAAAAGCTGGACCGTGCCCATTGTAAGGATAAAGTCGTAGTCCGTACCCGACTGTACTCATCCGTCCTTCAGGTCTGTACCTTCGGTGACATCTGATGAATCTGAATAGTGTGACATCTGCAGAGTCTCACAAAGTCACGTTCTGTTTGTTTCAACCATCGATCTCTCGGCAGAGTAGGAAGGACTTTCTTGAATCAGCTTTATCGGTTAGTTGGTTGAAACGGAAACAAGACTATACTCCCATCATCGTGCAAATTTTTAGGTCATAAAAACTACGCAGACCGACTCAAATATTCTCCATCTTTCCGACGTTTCCGACATAGATGAGTTTTTCACGAGAGAGCTGGACGAAGATGTAATTCAATGGGAAATTGCAGGTTGCAACAGAAGACATGTGATTCTGACCTGATTATTGATCAAGTCAAATGGTGTCTGCGTACCTTCCATCTCAAGAAAGTGAGACACTCGAGTCTAAAACATAAGTAGGGCAGGGCACCCAACTTTACTTCACACCGACCGGCATTGAACATGACTTGAAGCTGTGACGCAGTCGACACCTGTTCTGGTGAGGAGGTACATGTGACAAAGTCCGTACTCCTGTGGCGCAATCTTATTGCTCAGATATGGTTCTCGTCACTGACGCCTGCCAAATCTGTGCAATTCCAAGATTCGGTCGAGTACAATTGCACGACTAGAACGCATGCCTTCGATCGTTGACAGTCATGGTGACAGAGCAGGATCTGAGCCCTATTCAGAAATTGCATCGAAAAGTCCCTATCGTATCCGTCTGCATATATTAAAGCTAGTAGTATTTACGCATAATGGAATAGACTGTTCCTTTATTCGTAAATTCATTCTCTATTTGTGGATTCCAGAATGGTGTATCAATCAGTGTGTACTATAGATGACTGTGTGTAGATCTTTTATCAGTTCCTAAGCACTAATGATACCATGTTGGATTTAGAGTTCTCATGTTCAGGACATGACAAGTCTAACATGGCAGACTATTCTAGTCTCCTGCAAAATAATTTTCCCTTGCATGCTTGACATGGCTAGATTCTTAAAAGAGTAAGTATCCTATTCGGCAAGAATCTATCCTTTCCTTAGAGCCATTCAAGGATATGGAGCACATAGACAAACAACACGAGGGGGAGTGATGTGA